GGCTGTAGGCAAAGAAAATCTCCAGCGGCATGCACGATAGCTGGCAAGGTAGATAGTGGCGAGAGTCAAACATGCAAGCATGCTTCCTGCAAACTAGACTTGGGCTCAGCAGACCTCTACTGCAGCAATTGTTCCAGCCGGCGTGGGAGGCATCCCAAGATAGCTTTCCGTCATTGTCAAACACGAACATGGAGCAGGGACCCGATTGGCATCACGGAAGGCTTGGCATCTTGAACCTGCTCTTTTGTAGATACGCAATCCTTCCCTCACAAACTGCTCCCTGAATCATAGCCCAAGGCGTCTACGGACCTCGGCGTGGGGAGGTGCTTTCCTCCGAGCCGCTGAGGATGTTGGCCATGTTGAAGGTGCCGGCATGCAGGCCCAGCGTCGTGGCTTCCACCCCCTTGGGCGCTAAGTGAGCTGCCAGGACCTGACGATCGGCTCACATTTCAGCTTGCCCCATTTTGTTGGGCATATGTTAAAGTAAAGGGGGGCGATACCAACCCATGCACAGCTTTCTGGTGGACCTCCTTTGGAACAACCTGGAAAGGCCACCCTGAAACAAAAACAAGCGCACACACACACAAACCAAAAAACGCAGTCAGCAACCTTGCCCCCGAGCGCGCCTGCTTTGGGATCCACCGCCAGGCCTGCACCATGCCTCAGACCCCCGCCCATTGCCAGACAGCTGAGGCCTTCTAAACCCCCTCCACCCTCACCTGCCCTTTCTGCCTGGTGCTCAGCCTGGGCCTCGGGCTGTCCAGGCTGAGCACCGCCAGCAGCCACACGCTGTCTGGCACGGAGCCGCCAGTCCAGCGCCGCAGCACCGGCACGAGTGCGAGCTGCGTCGCCGCCTAAGCCCGACGCGGAAGCGGGAGTTTCAAACCTCAGGCGCCTTGATCGGTGGCATTACGCCAGGAACATCAGAATGATGACCACTGGATGCCCCCAATGGCTTGGAGAGGCCTCACCCTTCCCACATGAAAAGTGACAGGCTCGCTTGGCCCGCGTGGACGACATTGCGTTCCAGAAAGCGTCCATCATAATCATAAGATTCCATGCCTGAAATGCCCGATTTGAAGCGGGAGGGATTGAGCTCTCTTGAAAAGAGTCAGGCGTCATGCCCTTACCAGCATCTTGGGAAATGCCGGTTACTTCCAGTGAAGTCCTGAGCTCCTGGCCCTCAGCATCAAGGTCACCTTGCAAATGCTCCTGGCAGGCGCATCGTTTAAGCCCTTGGCCCAATGGCCGGTGAGCTGTGCTTCTAGTTTAACATACGGATGATGAGAAGATGAGAACAAATGACTCATTAACCTTCCGGAGTAACTCACTAACCTTCCGGAGTCGGCTTGCTGTGTCGCCCCCTTTGTTGGAACAAGAATGTTTGCCAAGGCTTGGCAGGCACCCACCAAAATTCAATTTGTGCCTGGATCAATTTGTCCAGAACAAACCCTTCGGATTGATGTGGGGGGCGCTATTGAAATGTGAATGATCCCCTTTGCGTTGAAGCAGGGGTTCACCACGGCTGAGTGAAAGCAAAGTGAGTTGAACAGCCACCTCAGGCACACCCCTCCGAAAAGCATTTGTGCTTTCATTTCCCCTGTTCGGAAGACTTGGAAAATGATGGAACAACGGACTAGGGGACTTTAGCCCAATCCCGGCCAAGAAAAAATGGAAAAATGATTGGTGTGTCCTTGCAGCTCCCCTTTAAAAACAAAAGTGCGGGGGAGCTTGAATACCATGATAGACACCACCGCGCGGGGGCGGTTCCTCCAAAACAGGAACCACACCCACGTCCTTTCGGGAAAAACAATGTTGGGAGGTCTCCCCATTTTACCAAAGTAGACACCCAAACATGCTTCCATCTACTGGCAGTGTCACGGGCGGGGGGGTGGCTGAGGTAAAAGCAATCCCGAAGAATCTCGCTAACTCCGAAAACAGACCCTCTCACACTCTGCCTTGAGCCCAACTTCATAACTCTGCAACCTCACCGTCGAGGCCACCGACTTGATCCAACAAACTGAAACCCCCCACCCCAAACCCCCACACCCCCACACCCCCAAGTCACCCAAGTCGCCCAACTCACCCAACTCCCCCCCTCCCGCCCCCCCGCTTGGCGCCTGTAGCTCCAGGACCTGAAGAGCTGCGGCCCCGTGGCGTAGCCCACCGTGATACCCAGGAAGGTCCCAGCGCCCAGCCCTCCGCGACCGAACCCCGGGGCAAAGGCGGGCGGCGTCCGCCGCTTTTTCCGGGGCTGGCCCGGGAAAGGCCGGAGGATGGGTTTTGGAGGTGGGTCGGCTGGGCTGGAAAGGGGCGGGGGATGGGCTGGGAGTTGGGGTGAAAATCACAGACACGATTTCTCGATTTCTCGATTTCTCTTGCCACCACATGAAAGGCGACACCCCCTGATGAACCAATTGAGTACAAAGGCAATGCGTCCCAGCCGAAGGAGTTAGGTGCCTATAGGACAAGACGGTAGGGGACTGTGGCAGTGCACTTGTTGTTTTATGTTGAGCTCGCGTTGAATAAATTGTGTTTACATATCAACTGCTGTTCAAAGAATATTACATTAGAAGGGAACCTGTAAAAGGAGTAATAACAACTTGAAGTAGAATGCATATAATTCACATTCTAATCAAAATAGAACAACTTCTAGAAAGGGTGTCTGAGGATTGTTGTGCTTGTTGCTTGGTTGTTAGTTTTGCTTTGCTTTTTTTGGATTTCTCGAGGTTTCTGGTTTTGTTTTTGGGCAGGTTTGATCCAGTGGAAAGACTGTCTGAGAATTGTTTTTGTTTTTTTGGTTTGATGGCTTTGTTGTTTGGTTTTCTCAAGGTGTTTTGCACGTGCTTTTTTTGGAAACGCAGGATTGCCCTAGAGCAGCAGAAAAGACAGACGAAGCGAGCCGATTCGGCCGGTTCCTGCCTGTGATGTAGAAGTGGGGGCTGAAGTGCGGCCCGGTTTGGAACTCTGCGCTGTTGTCAGTGCCTCCACAAAGCGCAGCTCGCGCAATGCTTCCCAAACCATCGGGGAAAAGGGCATGTGTCAAAGTAGGACCTCTCAATACAGACTTCCTTGGATTTCGGTTTTCTTTTGAAGCCGCTTAATTCAAACCAACCTCAAAAAGTACCCTCAACGCAACACACACCTACACACATGCTGGATTCCGAGCGGCAGAAATAGAACAGAGCGCCGTCGATGTTGAGATTGAGCAGGCCCAGCAAAAAGAAGAAGATTACCGGGCCAGCAATCTCGAACCTGACAGACAGACAGACAGACAGACAACTCCAAATGGCCAATGCCTAGCTTTGATAAAATGTCACAAACCTCAGAGCTTCACTTTCGAACTATTCAACTAACCATGATGCATCATTTGAGAATCCTGAGTGCCCGAAAAGAAACAAAACTTCGATCCGCACGGATCCCACCGCGGGAACCGCGGCTCACCGGCTGCGTGCCTGATGAAAACCGCGAAGGCGGTGAGGACCAGCGATGCCATCAGGGCTGCCAGCATCACCATGTGCGCCTCCGCCAGCACAAAGGTGGACACCTGAATAGCCCGGTGTTGTGTACAAGCAAGATGGGTTGAAGGGAGCCGAAGTGGAAACGCCTGGGTACGCGACTTGGAATGCCCCTTTGACTATCCCCGTTGCAATTGCCCAGGTTCGAACTTGCTCCCCATGCTCCCCCAATTCTCAAGGTCTCCACAACATTCATCCCATGGCGCAGGCCTCCAACCGGATCAGAAAGGCTAGTGAATTTCTACCTTCAGCTGACCTCCAGCACGAGTGGATTTCAGTTGAAAGGTTGATCACCGTCTAAGGACGCATAATTATTCTATTGATTTCTATTGATATAGGCCCTGGCCCATGGTTATCCTTTTTGGGAAACCTTACAGTGGCTGTCCAGTCTGACCATGACACATATCAAGTCCGTTAACGACCCTCACGCCAGGAATCGACCTGTACAGAGGGTTCCTAAAGACCTCACACGACCTCACATGGGTGTGTCCTCGTTTGAGGGCACCTTGCTTGGGGTCCGTCTTTAAACTTTAAAGGGAAACAAAGGGAAACAAATGGCGCTCACCATTTATGAAGAGACAAACCCATTTGACCAATGGGCAGAATTACGTGTTTCCTCCCGGGGGACATGAGAACCCGATTGTTTGTGGGGAATCCCTCATGATGGTTGCCTACATTTCCTGAAGGCGCTATGACCTTCCACACTCTTGGGCAAATCTCACTTATTGTCCCAACTGGTTGCTCGCTGAAATTTGCCAAGGTGGAAAACGGGTCAAGCACAAGTGGCACACACGCATGGCCCATCCACTCCCCGAGGGCGGCGCCGCGAGGCACGCGGCCATCACGCCGATCATCAGCGTCAGCCAGCAGAGCACCGCGTGGCGCCTCGGCTTTGGCCAAAGGGCCTTGGGCCTTTCACCAGGCGATGCTGGAAGGAAACGCAATCGCAAAGGTGCATCTCTGCTTTTGAGAGATCCTGGCCTGTGCTGGACGTGCGCTTATTGAGCCAACAAGCCGCTAAGCCATGCACAGGATTGACAGGAATCCCCCGAGCCACGCCAGGCCGCTGGAAGACCAGTGGCCAGCCAGGAGCTCGCTCTACCCGGCGCTCGCCCATGAAGTTGCCCAGCGCTGGCCACAGCACCGCCAGCACCTCAGTGGGGGGGAGGTAAAATCAGGGATGCTCCAGAGAATCAGAACATCAAGCAGTAGACGCTTTCTGTGAACAAGGAATCCTGGTGTGCTGGGCTCTGTGCATTTCAGAATAAAACTGCCTCGCTCCCTGGGTGGCATGCGCCATCGGACAGGAGGGGAGGCTCGTCACAAAATCCCAAACACAAGAAATGCCACAAGGAGGCGCCCCGAAGTAATTTATGCAGGTGCTCCATTGATCAAGCCCCACCCCCTAACCTGCCCCGCGCCCCCCACATAAGGCGGCCGATTCGCCAGCGGCGCCGCAGCGCAGTAGGGCGCTCGAGGGCCCAAGGCAGAAACCACCGGGCCGAGGACGCAAACGCTGGCAACCTGTCCTGGCGGTCCAATTTTGTTTGAATCACATCAGAAACCCACTGCAAAGGGAGGCAGCTCGGAACACGCCGGAAGGATGGGAAAGAAACCAAACTCGTGGTCGCTTGCCGTCCCTCCCATCCTACGTTGATGCCGAGCCAAGTGTAGGTCATGAAGTCCGGTCCGAGTTGTGCCTCAGAGGGCCGTGCATCATAAGTGACTATCTGGAACCATTGGATATCCCGGAGGGTCATGAACGTTCCATAGCTCCCCTTTTTCTGGCTCCAAGTGAATTGCAATCCCCCTCGCTCATGCCATTCGCGCCCAGGGGCATGTTTTTTCACCTCCTCGGAGGACTTGGCCGCCATCAGCACATCCACGCTGGCCACCTGAGGTCTGAACCCCACCTCCCCCACATTGAAGACACCCAGGCCGTCCCAGGGATTATCCACAAACCAACTCCTGGCCCCAGTGGCAGCAGCCCTTGAACCATCAGAAAACTCGAGGTTTGTTCAAAGAAAACCTTACACCCCAACCACCATAAAGCCCCGCCCCTTGCCAATGAATCTTGAATGTCATCTATACATCGGGGTGTATGTTCCGGGGTGCCCGCCTTGAAAATTCATACCCGGCTTGGACCACTTTCTTCCAAAGGGGCCAAGAGTCACAATTGCTGCTTAAAGCTTAGCAGCCACCTCTCGGTTTCCTTGCAAGAAGGGGCCTAGGCACTTCGGGGGTAGGGGCCCTCGCGCACCTGGAGGAAGGCCAGGAAGAGCGCCAGCACCACGGCGGCCTCAGAGGCCGCCAGGCCGCAGCCCAAGCTGAGCAGCGCCAAGAACGAGCCGCAGGTGAAGAGCACCTCGGCTTCGCTTCGCTTCGCTTCGCTCGGAACCTCAAGCTGAAGACGGAGACGGGCCTCTTCGCTTCGAGCGGTGGATGGAGGGGTGGGCGTTGCTGGCATGAGGACTCCATCTTAGATGGGAACGGCAACCTCCAAAACTCCCCAAAAAAACAAACAAAAAACTAAAAGCCAGGGGGGTTGGGGCCCCACAAATGTCCGAAGCCATAGGCCCCCCTGCCACGTAGGGCAGCTTGTGGTACCCAGCGATGGGGAAGGCGTCGCTCAGCAATGCCACCACCGGCTTCAGTGCGAAGGGCATGATGACCACCGCCTGGCGGCTCAGAGCCATGGGTTGAGGGCGGGTTGAGGTTAGCCTCGCGTTCATTCCTTCGCCTTTAACACCCAACACTCGGCGCGAATTGCTGCGGAGGCGGAACCAGAGCCTTGCCCAAAATCACGCCTTGAGCGCTTGGAGCCGGCCAGCCGAGATGTTCAGGTCGCTGAAGAGGAACTCCGCTGGCTTCCCAATCAGTCCTGGCGAGGTTGGCCGTAAATCTGGGCGTCAGTGACCAGCTGTGCAGCCAACCCCTCCTCCCCCCCAACAAAACGATTCTCTTCGAAGGTCGCCACGAGCTTGCCGTCATCACAGTCGCCGTCAAGTGGTATGTAGACAAGGGAATTACAAGCCAGTTTGGGATGTTGACCTCAGGAGAACTGCAATGGGACCAGAAACAAAGGGTCGACAACTTCCAGGACAATGTCCGTACAAGTAAGGTTTACAAGGCTTTATGGTTTAGCTGCATAAGCTCGGCCAGTTTGGTCACACGAAGGTCGTAGATAAATTCTCGTCCTTCATCGCCTCCCCCGGCCACGAAGCCCTGACAGGGCAGCGGGAACCCAGAACCAAGCAAACCGTGCGTGAAACGACAAGGCTTCGGCCCAACAAGCACTGACACACGCGCGTGCACGGGCACAGACCGACACACTGGTGCACACGCCGGACACGCCACACACACACACAAGCATACACACGCATACACACACAGCAGGGGCCCGCTGCGCGACGCACAACACACGCGAGCAAAGGCTTGATGCCAAAACCGTCCTTGCCCGTTCTTGGCGCCCCTCCCTTTTTTGAAAACCCCCAACTAGCGCTGGTTTTTGCTTTCCATCCACAATAGGAAGCAGCACCCGGCCCCCCCCCCCCCCGTTTAGACTCCTTGAGGAGGTGGTTGGTGCACGCCACCATGGCCAGCAGCTTCCAAGTGTAGCTCTGCGACAAGGCCCGGAACCACGCCACCGGGCTGCTCAGCAGGGACCTCGCGTCTCGATCCCCGAACCTGGAGAAAAGTCGATGGCACAGTGCCCTTGCGGGTGGAAAGCTAGGCCAGAGCGCGGTGTTCAAAAACATAGGGACAATGGATTTCCCCTCGGGCACAAATTCAAGCAGGGTGATCCTTGAAAATTTGCCCACTAAATTTCTGGGCACCCATTGGAACCTTTTGAGAAGCACCCGGAACCCCTCGGACTTCAGAACCCAATCCAACCCGCTCCACACCCCCCCGGAACTGCTATCCAGCAACCGGAACCTTCCAGAACCCTTAGAACCCTATCCAGCCCGGCCACTGCTCGCAGCCCCGCCCCAACCCAACCCATGCCCGCCGCGAATGCCCCAAACATCACCCGGCGGCGGTTCTCCGAGCTGCAGCTCCCTGGGCTTGAGGAGCGGGGAGGCCTCCGTGGCCGCCTCCGCATCTTCGTTCTTCGGAAGTTCTCGGACGCGCGAGGCGGGGCGAAGTCCCGAGCGGCCGCGACGGACGAGCGCGGGGACCCAGTGGCCACCTTCGTTTTTTCGGAACCGGCAAAGCGGAAGTGGTCCAGGGTCGCCCTTGCCCCATGTTGCAGGTCCTTTCGTCTGGCAAGCGTCCAACGGCAACTGGGACCACAATTCAACTCAGCGAATTAACAAGGACAACCCGTTCCGCTGGGGGCGCAAAGATTGGAAGGTACGGACCGCATCCCCCCTCCCCAAAATGTTCCAAAAACAAACTATGAGGAAGGAGAAGGCCACCACCCATCAGCCAAAAAGGAAGGCCAAATCGTAGACCGCGCTTTCTGCGATCAAGGCGCTGCCTGGCATCTTTCAGATCCTCTTGATCCTTGCTCGGCTGACAAGTGACGCCATACCAGGAACCCTGCAAACCGGCCCACAAAGGTCCTTGCAACATCAAACGAAAGGCCAAAGCGATCCGAAAATCAAACATCATAGAGGAACGCACCACAAACTTGAAATAACCCGTTTTCAATGAGAAGAGCCGACGTGGCGTACAATAGAGTGACCCCAACATGTTTTTTGTCCTTTGTGTTCTCCTTGAAACCAAGGTGAAAGGGTACAAACAAGAAGGAGCACCCAGGTTTCAGCCGCGGCACTGAGCCCGGCAGCCGCCGAACGCGGCTAAAGGCCGCGGTTTGAGCCGCAGCTCGCGACCGGGCTGAAGGCCAAGCGAACGCACCCCCACCCAAACCAGGCAACCCGTGAAAACACAACACCCATGAACTTTTCCACGAGCCCAAAATAAGGTGCTTGATTCTGGCCATGCAATATGTAACAAGAAGCTTCAAAAGAGATCCCAGAAACATAGGCGTCCTGCCCAACCGTCCGCCTCTCATACAGCTTTAGCCGAATTTGCAACGCCTGCTGCTCTGGGCTTTTTGTTGCATCAATGCATCGACTAGCTGGCGAAGGCTTGCAGAGCCTCCTGAGTCGGTTTCTTTACTCGCTGGCATCAGCAAAAGTGGCCACATTTGTGGACACTTGCTGCCGAGGCCGCGCAAGTTGCTCTTTTGACTACAGAGACGCAAAGACTCACGCAAGAGCCCGCCTGTCATGCCCCCTCAGTCCAACCATTCCGTCCGACGTGTGGACCTGTATTTGGCTCATGGCTCCGGCAAAAGGGCACTTCTTTAGCTGGCTATTCATCTTCAGGGGGGAAGAGGTGGAGCTCAATCAAGTGGGGAGCCCGAATCCGCGTTCTCAGAAGGTTGGCCCGAAACCCTGCAAAGGACTCCGAAAAAGTGACAACAAAGACTCCCTGGTTGCGGCAAACCAAACCTTTGTGTTGCTATGACTTGCACCCAGGGCCTCGAAGGGGTTCTCCACAGCTTGGCCTCGGCTGTTCGGTCTGTGGCCCCTGGTTGGCGACCCCTTTCAAGGCTCGGCAGTTGTTCTCCAACCCCCCGCCCCCCCCCCAAAAAAAAAAAAAAACAAATAAAGAGTCAAGAATTGCCCCCGCGGAAAAGCATGGCTTTGGAGTCCATGACCCGTGCCGGGCCGCAAAAGTATTGTGCAAAGCACTCGACACACTGAGCCCAACAATGGAGCCACCAAAGCTTCAACGTTATATAGTTCATTCCTGTCAACAGGCCGCCGAACTCATGCCAAGCTTTAGCTTGTGTCACCTTCAATCATCCTCCCATCACGCGAGCCCGTGGCCATGTCCTTGCGAGGGCTTTCCCACAATGAGATCGCGAGAGCGCACATAGCGGCGAATTTACCCCGAACAAGTGACCAAGGGCACTGGCGGAGGAGTTTGTCGATGCGCTGGGCCAAGGAGTTTGTCGATGCGCTGGGCCAAGACCCCTTGAACGACATTCAAATTCTTTGCCCAAGTTTTGTTGCTCCCCCAATCTCCCCAAAAGTGCAGAAAGTCGGTTCACGGCCCATGCGGCCCCGGGCCCTGCCCCCGCAGCTCTTCCTATGCCTGGCGGCTCAGCAAGGACATGCCGTCGGGGCCAGCGTCCGGGGCCTGCGCCTGGAACTCCACGCGGGAGAGCCGGCCGTCCTTATCCTCGAGACACATCCGTCGTCTCCCGTGGGGACATTTGGCTGGGGACCCTTTGGCTTCAAACGGATTTTGCTCGATTTGAAGGTTCGAAGGGTTGCTGAGCGTTGGTTCCCCGCTCTTTTCGACCATTGTTCCTTTCAGAAATCAAGCTTCAAGCATCCCCTGAGTTTTGGTCATTTGCTTGAAGAGGCGGACCCAAGGGATTGGGGGGGGTGGCACAATTAGATCGATGCACCATGACCCTTCCCAAGAAAAAGACCAAACTCCAAAAACTCCAAACCAAATACGCTGCTTATCCAAAGGCCAGCATCTACGTCCAGCTTCTCGAAGAAAGGGACCCACTCGTCCACCGAGGAGGTGGGATAATGCTTTCCTTGGCGCATGCCTCGTGCCTGCAACCAGTCTCACTCACCTCCACCTTTGGCCAAGCCGCCTACATCCTGCAGGAACTCTGCCTGCGAGACGAACATATCCTTAGCTAAAAGGAATGACGAAGGAGCTTCCAACCTCTTGAGACAAACAACTGCGAGATTGTGTTGAAAATAGTGCATGTGCATGTACATGTGCTGTGCATGCACACGCTGCAACGATGTGTGTCCGCCGGCCTGTCAGAACTGCCCTACATGTCTACATTGCAGCGTGCTCCACTCTCGTGAAAGGGCACATCTCTGGGACATCAGCCAGATCCCAGAGTCTGACAAGAGAAGAAGGACGCACATCTACAGTGCAAAGGAAAAAGCGAACCCCCGTCTTGGATGAATCGGGGCTGACCTTTTCCAAACCATTTTAGAGCAAACCCAACGTGTCGAGAGACCTTCTTCACCACACAGCAACACAAACCTTCCCCTCCCCAACTCGCCCAACCCGCCCAACCCGCCCAACCCGCCCAACCCGCCCAACCCGCCCAACCCGCCCAACCCGCCCAACCCGCCCAACCCGCCCAACCCGCCCAACCCGCCCAACCCGCCCAACCCGCCCATCTGACTTCGGCTCGCGCGCGAGACCCCCGGAGCTTCCGAGGCGACCGAGGCGCGTGGTCGGCATCCGCCCGGCGGAAGGCCAGGCTCATGGCCCGCAGCTCCGCGGGGCCCCGGGCCGCGTCGGCGAACTCCGCCCGCGACACCCGGCCTCGCGTGCACGGCGTGCACAGCGTGCATGGCCGGGGCCGGGGACGGAAGGGGAGGCGCGTCTTGCGGGCGGCGCTTTGGAACAAATGGGTTGTGAACGAACGGGACAAACAACTCCTCGGACAAATGAAGGTGGATGATGGGGTCGAGGGGGTGCAGGGTTCCACACAAGGACAAACCAGAAGATGATGACTGCAAAAGCTGCCTGACCAAACCTTCAAGGCAACAAAGCTTGACGGCCCCTACGTTTGACGGCATGGTCAGACAACACAACTGACCCGGTCGCCCATGTGCAATCCCAATAGTGAGCACGCATTCTATTGCGAATGATGGTTTCAGTGCAAGGTCGTTCCTGTTGCTGGCCATCAATGCTCAGCCTCTTCAGGGATCCTGATCATCCTCCAACATCCCTACAATTTACCCAGTGCAGCAAGCCGCCACCAATCTGGCTGTACTTCCCGCGGTTCTTTCTAGGGATCACTTTCACAAACCAGAGTCCAAAGTGGTCCCTCCAAAGAAGAATGGGTGAAAAGAACGGAGGGGCCCAGATTCATCGCTGATTCACAGCCCAGGCGCCGTCACGATCCTCGTCCACTGACTGGAAGAGATGCACCGCACTCACCTCTTGGCTCCGCACCCCAGATTTGAACTCTCCGGCGGAGACGTACTCATCCTGGTCGGCATCCAGCCTCGGAGAAAGCGGAAAGGCTAACGGAGGGGAGTTAGACCACACAAACAAGCCAACAAACAACCACGCAAACAACCAAACAGCCAAATCACGTAAATCTACAACTACACATCCAAACCAAGCCAAACTGCGCAAGCCACAACAAGCGGGCTCAACAACATGAGCTACTCCAAGCTTTGCGGGCTCGCAGCCATGGCTCCAAACGCAACGGCCCCTTGCCCTTTGTCCATTCAACCCCCAATCGAGCTCAAACCCTGATTTGCCGCCTCATTCCCCCCAGAGCCCCACAAAGGGAAGCATGGATACGAGCTCTGCTCAAGAAGAACTGAAACACGGATCTCGTTGGAATCACCACCACGACAGACAGCGCCTCGCCACGTCCCTGCCCTCCCAATGCAGCCCAAAGAGCCGCTCAAACACTCTGTCGATGGCCACCAGGTCTGTATCCCCCGGCCGCCTGGCAATGCTTTTGTCGATGGCTTGGGTTGACCAAGTTGGCGCGCTAAGGAACGCCATGCTTTCGTGTAGCCTGCCCATTGTTTCCCGTGTTGATAATGTGGGTTTGCATGGTACTACTTGGGGCCATAGACCGCACCCACTGTTCAGCTCCAGCAACGCTAAATCAAATGGAAACTCCAATCGAACAATACTAAATCATATATGTGGAAGATCAACTCAAACTCAAAAGGAAGCTCCAGCAATACTAATTCAAATGAAAACATGAACCGAAGTTCCTTTGAAATCCTGCTGGAGCTCTGGAATCATCACTCCCAATTCAAAAGTAGTATCGCCTAATACTAAATTAGATCTCCCCGATTTTGTTCAGTTTCAGAATCTGATTCTTTGGAGGGTGTATTAACCCGATGTCAACATGACATGTTTCGGCGCAGATCGGGGCGCAGTGCTTTGCGGGCTTCGGAAGGTTGCAAAGGGATCCGGTTCTGGATTGAACTGCGACCAAATGTTTGGAGGAAATTTACAGTAAGATTCCGATGGCATCCGGGTGAACTGAATCCATCTTTTTGGGGGGCCAGACCCCGAAGCGGTCAACCAACCCCCCACCCCCACCCCCCCAACGCCCCTTCTCTCCCTCGCTCCAAATGCCAGCGGCTGCCAGCGCCTCAGGGCTTGGAAGTCAAAGGCCTTGTCCATGGCCAGCTTCGCCAGCGCCTGGCAAGGCCTTCACCCTCGTCCCTTCCAGTCTTCCCGTCTAAAGGTTGCACCCCGGTGCCCTGCTTTCTGCTTGTGTCACCCATCCTTCTTTCAGGCAACGCTCTGAAAAAGAGACTCCTGGAAAGAACTTGGGGGGCCTAGATGTCAGCACTCATCCCTTTTAGGAGGTCCCCTTCAAAGCCAAAGTGCCCCTTGCGCAAGCACGATCAAGCCTCACATGAAACTCGTATGCTTTCAGGCAACTCAACCATGGATTAACTGAGGATGTATTTAAACGTGGTGAGCAGTGACATCTGTTCCCAAGGCATATGGAATCCTCCTGCGGTCAGACTTGTCCCAAGCCAGCCTTTCAACCCTTGGTTTTCTGGCTTTGGCCCGGCCCATTTCAAGTCGAGGTCCCGAAAGATTAACCTTTCATGTGAGCACAAATGAAAGCCCATAATTCTGGGGCAGTGGGCAAAGAGGGAGGCCTGCATCAAAAAAAAGGGCAAGCAATCCGCGCCAGCATCGACCTCTGTCTGCTTTTCTAGGTGCCTCCGGGTGTGAGCAGGGGAGCTATGGAACCCTGGGGCTGCTGACAGCATGCTTGGCATGGGTCAAATTTTGCATATTTTTGCATGGTTACAGTCGGTGGTGCCCTTGAGCCTTGGCCAGCGCTTGGTCCATCTCCTTCTTGCTGAACTCGTCGCTGGTGATCTTGCCGTCCCCGTTCAGGTCCAGCTGCTTGAACACCTCCTCCACCACCTCCTTGGTGTACATGATCGCCTCAGGAGTCACTGAGTCACTGAGTCACTGAGTCACCCGTCTCGGAATCTGCCGCCTTGGCATCTTGCATGCAAATCCGACGGCTGCGACCGTTCATCCACGGCACGCTGACACGAGGAAGCCACTTCTGTGGCCTGGCTGCACAGCGGGAGCTCGGAGTGATCTCATAGCCCTCATTGCCTCGGTGCACTTGCAATCAAGCATCGGAACTGAGCAACATGCCGCACAAGCAGCGTCTGATGTCTGCACCAATCTGTAGAATGAAGCTCCATCTGCACACCGCAAACCTTTCTTTTACCCATGACGAAGTACATCTGGCCACCGGCCTGCCCACCCCAAAACAAACAGCCAGTGCCCTCTTGAACCTATATGCCCAAGCCAGAGCCTGCCAGGTCCAAAATCCTCTCCCAGCGGATTGACTCCATAGCTGTGGTTGGGGGAAAAATCCAACCTCGTTTGAACTAGAAATTTAGAAGACCACCTTTTGGAGCACTGGCAACTGGTTGCCAAACTGAGTCCCAGCATCAAAAGCTCATTTCCCGATAACTTGCCTTCGCAGGGTTTCAACCGGGGGCCCGGCATTCCGCGCACTGGTTGTTGCCCGTGCGCTGGGAAGGCGCGCGGCAGCTTTTGCACTTCTCCCCCTGCCCGGTGTGGCAGCTGTACTCCGCGCAAGCCCCGGTGTTGGCGTCCAACCCGAATCCGGGGTTGCAGGACTCGCACTGGTCCTGACGGCGGCGCGAAAGGCGGTGGGAGGCGGGTCGGAATCCAGGCAGACAGGAAACCCGCCATTTTGGAAAGATCCTAAAGAAGAACTCTGCGATGAAAAATTGCTTTCTGGATGACCTCCTTTTACCAGTGGACGGGTGGAATTCAGCCTAGAAAACCGTCCCATTTGCCCGAGAGCATACCAGTAGTTTTGATCCTGCTGTGACCCCGCTCGCGATGTCCCATTTCAAGCTCCTGCAAATTGACAAACTCTGAAAAAGAGGCCGTGATCTTGCCGAAGCAAAATGCAATCTGTTTCCTGACTTCCAGGAATTCGCACCCCAAGACCAATCAGAGTCTCAAACACAAAAACCCTACAAACATGCCCCTCAAACGCTAAACCTCCCAACCCTCAAACGTAGTGAGTTTACCCACAACCCAGGTCTTCAGCGAACCCCAAAACCAACTTTTCCAAGAAAGGTGTTATTTTGCATGGAACCGAAAAAGCAAAAACAGAAAGCGGCTTCTTTGTCTCCGTGGAACTCCGATTCCCGCTGCCTCCGCCGTCCGGCGCGCCAAGGGCCGGCAGACCCGGCACTTGCTGCCCGCCCCGTGGCGGCACCCGAAGGCCTCGCAGCCGCCACTCGGCGCCAGCGCAAAGCCGTCGGCGCACAGGTGGCAGTGCTGGTCCCTGGTCCTGGCGATGCCAAAACTGCAAAAATCCGAGCCTCAGCTTTGCCGAGACCCGGACTTCTTTAGACTCCCGGGGTGACACTCTGCAAAATGAATGCCAGAAGAGATGTTTGAGGCCGAGCAAGACCAAAACAATCATCAGAGATCACAAGTCGAGCAGGTTAGGGGACAAAACAAACGCATATCTGAATCTATTGCCAGAGGAAGAACGTGGGGTTCAAACTCGGCGTTGTGAAGCAACCAGTTGCAACGGCACCAAAGCCCCCTCAAGTCGCAACTCCCGACTCTACCCCATCCAAAACCCCTTTCTGTCGTCGTGGTCCTCTCCACTTGGGCGCGGCAGGTCTTGCAGGAGCCGCCCTCTGTGCACTTGAAAGGCACGCAGGTCATGTCGTGCGTCAGCCTGCGGGCCCAGCACGAACATGTTCCTTGAGGAAATAACGGGGGCAGTTTACCCGGTTTACCCTCTTACATGTACCAATTGCGGGGGGGTCCTGTTTTGTAGGGACTCCGGTTCTTCCAGAAATTATCGTCCAAAATGACCATTGACGTCAAAATAATGAATGCAAAACCACGGAGCATTTATCCCAAGCATGTTTAGCAAATGATCTAGCACCGATGATTTGGTCAGTTCTGGTATCGTCAGACAGTCAAACTCCCACGAATTCTTGAAACATGCGGCAGGCAAATGAAAAGCTTTGTGCTGGCATCACGTAGCGCCAAGCACCAACTCTCGGAACAGCAACAAGTTCATGATACTCAGCTGAAAGATCACTCTGTGGGACTACGACCAAAACCACTTGGACACCTTCTCCGCAAAAGCTATGCAATGGCGCCGCCTCCTTCGAAGACTGGATTGTTAGAAAGCTTGCCCCGAGCGACAAAACGAAAACCAGCTGGCCGAAACTTTCAGCCAGCATCGGCCTGTATCCTGGCTTGCACTTCTTGCACTGGTTGTCACCTGCGCCCATCCCACGCCATGCGCGAGTAAGAATCCCATCCCCAGCTCTCTTGATGGCCCGCATCAGCATCCTTGAATGCTTTGGCCCACAAGTTCTACCCGGAAAGCGAACCTCAAGAAATATTAGAGTGAAAACCGGGCGCCGAAACCAGGGTTGTAGCACCCCACACACCTCACAATCAGGAAGAAGGAACAAAAGCGGACACCGCAACCCCCCCCCCTTCAAGGCCCCGGCTGCTCCGCAAAGGCTGCTCGAGGCACTCCAGGCACTGCCGGTCCTCGACATGGAGCTTTGCCGTGGCGAAGGCTTCAGCAAAGGTTTGCGGGTTGCCCGTTTTGCTGGGTGGTTTGAAGGAAAACCAACCATCGCCCCAATTTTGACACACGCCGCAACTCCTGTCAAACCAGGTAGTCGGAGTACCCACTATGGCCTTTTTTCTGACTTCAGACGTTTCGCCCGTTTCCATATCTCTTCACGGTCCAGAATGGTTGATTCCCGAAGCAGCTCATGCGCCATGTCACAACGTCTCTCAACGATTCGCAAAACAAAAACAAAAACAGCTATATGATTATCTTGTCCCACCTGGCCTGCCAAATGCTTCCCCCCCCTTATTGAGCAGTCTTTGATTCCTGGGTAAGCCCTTTTACCATTCAAAGCTTGCCAAACCAGCTAATCCTTTGAGGCGAGCCCTCCCGTTTTCGGGCGCGCACCTCCCAATAAATCACATTTCATGAAGAAACTCTTGGTTTCAAATGCCTCCAACTGCCACGACGAACCCTGTGGGAGTATCTTGGCTTTTGCGATGGGCTCCTCCCACTTGGGCTCGGGATGGCATGGCTATGGCTTTTACAGTTCGAGGCTGCCAAATCGACTCCAAGTACCCATCGGCTGCTCCCCTCCCATCCTCTCCCCACCCCGAAAAAGGTCTCCTCCAGGTTTTCGCAGCGGAAGGGCCGGCAGGTCTTGAGCCCCGTGAGCTCATACCCCGCGTTGCACCGCCGGCACTGGCCATCTGCCGAGCGCTGGCTCCTCAGTAAAAGGGGAAAAGGTTACGAAACGGTGGCCCCGGCAAATGTTGCACATGTTTGGGAAGTTTCAGGAGGATGTAGTGGTTTATGCGCCAAGACTAGTCGAGCACCTAGCAAGGCTGACCAAGCATCATTGCGCAAGAGCGGGCATCCAGGGTTTGATTGCAAGTTATGTCTGTCAGAGCACCGAGAGCTCTGCGCCCGCTGCAGGGCCCGTGCATTACAGCCAATAAGGAGACAAGACGATTAGTTGTCTCCTTTGCATCTGCGCCTTTTTGGTTGCGGTTGGTTGCGGTTGAGGTGATGGTTGCTGTCGGCATCAGTGTCGAAGTTGGTGCGTTGGTGTTGGTGTTGGTGTTGGTGTTGGTGTGCGTTGGCGTTGGCGTTGGGGCGTTGGGGCGTTGGGGCGTTGGGGCGTTGGGGCGTTGGCGCGTTGGGGCGTTGGGGCGTTGGGGCGTTGGGGCGTTGGGGCGTTGGGGCGTTGGGGCGTTGGGGCGTTGGGGCTCTTGGGGCTCTTGGGGCTCTTGGGGCTCTTGGGGCTCTTGGGGGTCTTGGGGGTCTTGGGGGTCTTGGGGGTCTTGGGGGTCTTGGGGGTCTTGGGGGTCTTGGGGGTCTTGGGGCTTGGGGGTCTTGGGGGTCTTGGG